TCATTAGGAATGTTTTCTGCCTTTAGATCCAAGAGCCTCAACTTGATGAGGCAAAGATTCCCAGAACTTTTCAACAGCTCTCGGAAGCCTAGGAACAGAAGATATCTCTAACTACTGCCCCAGACAGAAAGATTTTCTTCTTTCAATACTACAGCTTCCATGTGAGAGAAAATGTTTAAAGTGAGACCCACAACTTGAGGAAACCTCAACCTTCAAGACAGCGCTCTTAGGTCAATAGTAACGTGGATGCAAGCAATGGGAACCTGACCCTGTGTCATGGGAGCATCCTGTTATCCCTGGTGATTTGAGTATAGAAATCAAGCTGCCCTGGGTATCCAACAGCTTACAGAGAGAGCCCATTTACTTTGTGGGCTGCCCAACTGGCTGTATCCTCTGAAACCTAATATCATTAGTCCTGAGAATCAGCCTCCCATTCAGACTCTGCCCTGTGGGAGAGGTCACCTCCAGATCTCATACTTCTGACAGACAAAACAAAGGGAGCTAGAAGACTCAATGGGTTTGAAGATATATATATAATAAAATTAAAAAAAAAAAAAGGAAAAGAAAAAAGAAACAAGACACAAAATTCAAATGTTGGATGTGAAAAGTAGCTAAACTCTATTTTACACGGTCCAAAATGCTGTGAAACCTCTGGCAGCTTCTTCCAAGGAAGGACATTCATTGGCGTTTCCTGCAATTTCTGCTCCTAGGAAAAAGAAAGAATCATTGGGCTTCCCTGGCTATCCAGCTGCCTTCACATTCTAAGAGAATTATACTCTAAGATCTAAACTTTCTCTTCCTGAAAACCATGTATTTATCCATGCTTTATAACTGATGCTGACTAAATGACTGGGAATGACGGAATCATTGAGTGGGCTAAATCTGTTTCTCCAGCTTGATTTAATGGGCATTATTTTAAATGTTAATGACTGCAAGGAAACAACCTGGCTTGATTAGCTGTGATTGGGCGTAGAGGTCATCTGGGTTTTCTTGCTGGTGGATACAAATTCTACATATGCTGATTATTCATGGAGAGCAATATATTCATTTGCAGGTGGTTTGCACAAGCTGATGCCAGTGAAAATTGTCCTATTAAAAGCTCCTTGAAAGCTGAAAGCACACAGCTGCTTTCAGATCATCAAACAGTATTAGCCAAGCCTTGTAAAATGACTGGTACAATCAACATCCCCATTGTCACAATTGCCTAAAAGCATCCAGCTTGGAGAGGATCCACTCATGCCAAGCATGCTCAATACTGTACAAAGAAAAAGTACAGTAGGTTCTTGACTAAGAAATCTTGTCTTTAGTGGTGCTTCCAGTCTTCTCTTGTTCTGCTGAGACTCTTAAATCTCCTTGATCAAAAGAGCTGATTGAATCTATTTCTCAATGAAAAATGTCTGGTATTGGAACATACACATTGGATGGAAATTTAATAGAGATTGCTTCTTCTCCCTCTTTTTGTATAAGAGCACACCATTCAGAATCACAGCGTTAGTATCTAAAGACTAAAACACTCAAACTCAGTGTGGTTTGTGTGGGAACACAATAATAACTGTGTGGGATATCCAATAAAAGGTTGCTTTAAAGTGCAAGCCAAAAACTGAGCTAAAAATCAGGCAAGCTGTACGGGAATGATGGCAAAAAATCCTCCTCCAAACCAATCTTTTCTCTTTGGCCACCCTGCCCCAGGGCTGGTCACTCCACAGCTCCCACAGTCCTGTAAAATCTGCCATTGGAGACAGAAGCTCAGTTCTCACTGAAGTCAGCAGGGTCTTCTACAGTCCTTCACAACCAGCACATGCCCATCACCCATCCCTCCCTCCCCTCCACTGGGTACACCATGCAGAACACCCCTTGAAGTGAACAGGAGTTTTGCCAAATTAAGATCTGTGGGTTCAAGCCCTGCACACTGTAAATAATTAGCCTTAAAAACATCCCCACAACAAAATTCACTGCCTGAGGACTTGTAAATGAGCACAGTAAAAATAATTCTCTTGCTGTCTGTAAAATGTGTTTCTTATTAGAGAATGCTCCTGACCCCAGGAGTGGCCACACTGTATTTCTCTCTCTGGTTCTCACTCTTACACACATGAGTGCATGTGCACATGCACTTTGTTGATTTCTAAAGCTGGCAGCTGTAACAGTAACAGCAGTTGTAGACATTTTGAGTATTTATTCATCCCCCATATGTTGGGAAAGTCTTTGGGGGTTCAAAATAAGATCCTTTGCCCTCATAGAAAGAAGAATAAATATGTTTAAAAGAATGTTACAAATTTGGCAAACATCACATCACAACATCAATCCAGACCCTCATCAGTGCGAAGCAAATAACAATGTGCAGATTTTATTAGAAGTACAAGAATGAAAAAACTGTTTCCCACAACTGAGGAACTTAAAGTCAAAAATAAGCAATCCTGAACTCTAGCTTTGCCTGTGGTAATGAGCTGTTCCTCCCCCAGCAGAGTGCGGATGACTGTTTGCTTCACCCTGCATTGCACTCCTTTCTCTGAGAGTTGTCAGTTAAAGAATAGATTGTGCTGAACAAAAAGAAAACATTTTCTTCAGTAGCCAATGGATCCTGATCCTCCCTCTGCCCCGGCTTTACATGTTGTCTAAAGCAAAAACAACGTTTTTATGGATGAATGCTTTTCCATGCAAGGTGCCTTCTGTTCAGTTTCCCAGCACACAATGGCTGCTCAGTTTCCACAAAGATGCAACATTACTTGATTGTAATGATTCCTGATCAGAACTAAAGACAATTTATCAGCACAATTGGACACATAACAAACATATGTAAGTGACCGTGTTCTGGGAGCAGTGAGAACCACAGCCATCAGCACCACAGCTCAAAGCATTTTTTGAGGAGAAAGAAAATTCTTTTCGGTGTCATTGGAATTGTAATCACTGAGATCAGGCATAAGAGGGAGACGTGGTCACATAACAGAGCAATTCAGAGTTTAATTCCATTCTTCCTACTCTTACTGATAGCATAGGATGAGAGTTTCCCCCAAATGAAAATATGGATAACTATTGGTTCCACAAAGGTTACTCTGATTTATGCTAAAGGAAACAAAACACTGTCTAGCCTTAGGGGTTTTAGCTTTTAAAAAGGGCTTATTAGAATGCAGCCACAGGAGATTAAAAAAGAATAGGGTCAAGTTCCCTGCTCTTGATAGTTACAAGCCAAACAAGAAGTTCTGGGATTGGTACTGAATACACAGCATGAACTTTAAGACATTTGCTTTGAAAAAGTCAGATTAGGTGATCAGTGATTCCTTCTGGCCTTAAAACATCAAACATATATGATGAAAGTAGAGAAACCAAGGGAAACATTTTATAAAAGATCCTGTGCTTGGTTCTTCTGTATTCCTTTCTATTTCCTATTGGTTCACTTTGTCACTGCTGTACTTTGATCGAAATGAAATGTTCTTCAGTTCATGAAAGAAATATCACTAAGGCATGGCTCTTGCTAATAATTCCCAGCAGAACCACTTGGTGGATAATGCTTGTTTATCAAATTTGACATTGATTTGCATTTTCAACACTCGAAGCAACCTGATCTCTGTAGAAACTGGCACCTCTATGTTGTCTTTGAAGCTGAAGGGTGTTTAGAATAATTCTTCAGACCCTGTAAACCAAGATCCTTATCCCATAAGGGGATTTCACACAGAACTTTGACTGCAAGTTTGAATCAGTTATATTAAACCTGAACATTTTTCAAGCAGTCAGACAAGTTTAAATTCCAGTGGAGCCAAAACATTTTCAGCCATATAACAACCAGGTTTTAGTGTTAATAAATGTCCTTTTCCTCCTGTCTACAGTATGTCACTGCAAAATGAAACTGCTCCTAAAGAATGTTAACAGAGACACACAATACATTTTACCTCCTTGGACTCCTACAGCTGTGCAGCAAGGGTAATTCACGGCTACATTCCAGTCCCTGGTGCTTATAAAGTAGTTTTCCTTTGTCCTCAAGACCACACTTGTCTCTGATGAGGTCAAAGACATGACTGGGATAAAGGGGCTTATGAGTGCAGATCTCATTTCCATCATAAATGGAACTGATAATTCTAGGCGGGCTTTGTCTCCTAAGGGCCAAAATCAAAGATGGAGTCTACAACATTGTAACATCTAAATCAATAGCTTCTTCCAGCTCCTTCTGTCATTCCAAGCACAGTTACTCCAACTTTGTTTAAACCTGAGCTCGCTTCCTACCATGGAAATAAATGGCTCACCTTTACAGAAGGTTGCATCCCTTCCCGTACACATGTATTAGGTCCCACATGCCAATAGATCACACCAAGCACAAAGTAAAAACAAAAATGATGTAGAAAGTGGCAAATTAGGAGACCTAATTCAGATGAATTTGCACCACAGTAGATTCTCAACTATATTGGCTGGGCATAAACAGATCTACACAAAGGAATCTAAACCAGAATGTATCACTACCCTACTGAATGTAGCCAAAATTTGTTTCCCTATTTACTGTCTGTAACCTGATGTAGTAAGGTCATATTAGCTCAAAGTGAATTAATTAATTTGTCTGAGCTTGAACCCATGGAACCTCTTGGTGAGCTGTCAAGAGTGTTGCCCCAGACATATTACCCTTTGTAACCTTGTAGGTGGAGAGTAAACAGAGAGTAAAATGTATTGTCTCACAACAGGGCTCTAAACATAGATGAAAAATACCCTTATGTCCACTAAATGCATGCAAGCAAGATTTACTGATAAGACTTTATAAGCTTCCAGGTGTAAACTCCCAGTAAAATATTCTACAATTTCTGAAACATTGATTTTAACAATTGAAATCTTCCAGGCTGTTATTTTCCCAAAATCATTCGGAAGTTTGACCAAAATGTTTAAGCAGCTTCTAGAGCACAAGGATAAAACTGTCTACGAAAGTATTTTTGTTATTAAAATAGGGGAAGAAAGGGAGATTTATTAATTATATTTTTTTATTAAATCCAAATGTAGTAAAAGTTTGCACCAAAATAACAAATGGAAATAATTAAAGCTCTTCCTTGGGCATGTGTATTACAGATCCTCATTTGTTGTCCTCTCCTCCAGTCAGGCCCTGAGACATATGGGAAAAACGAAGTTAAAACAGTTATATTAATAAAGCCATGAAGAATAATTGTTTATAAGCACACAGCCAGTATCCACCTGCCATAACCTGGAACTGCACTATGCTACCAGATAAGAATGTGACCCATGATAAAGTACAATGGAGGTCACAGACAGCTTTGGGGGAAAAGGAAATCCAGCATTTTTCCTCCTAGTTAAATCTTCAAATAAAATAACATGGTTACAAACTGGGAAGGTGGCTCTTTTCACTGGCAATTAGAGGCATGTCTAGGGTCACTGTGGAATTCAAGACCGTATGAAGGTAAGAGGTAGCATGAACAACCCCAGGACTCTGGCTGGATGCAGATTCATCCCTCGGCAGTGATTGTCCACAGAGTCTACAACCACCAGGGAAACAGAGGAAGCAATGCAAGTAGAATTATAAAGTACTTAAATATTCTAAGTAGTTAGTCTGAGAATGTGAGTTATATTGATCTTGATGTCATGAAGTTCTAATCAGCCATTTCACGTGTCACTGTGAGAGCTATGGATTCAGGCAAACACGTATTCTCAGCAATATTTTATTACACATCTCATGATTTTGCCCTGAGGGGGAAAGGAACTTGACTATAACTTCAGAACCACAGTGTACGCATCTAAAACACGAAGCTGCCCTTGTGTCATCTCCTGATCCTGTTGTATCACCTTACTACTGAGGGTAGGAAGCTCCTTTTCTGGAATCACAACAAGCACACTAAGACATAAGCAAGAGTTAAGATGAATATGTTCTGGGGCCTATTATACAGCACAGTCAAAAGTGGTTCTTAAAAGTGGTCCATGGGCCATTTTAGCCCTTGATCAAAATCTTCTAAGTAGGGAGAAATCTCAGACCCATCATTTCCTACTGAATTTATATATAACATTTCTCCAAGTGCTTTAATGATCTCCTTCCTGTTGGGACTGGAATAGGCAGAGGTTAAAATTCCAGCCCAGATTTATGACAAGTAAAATGTGAGTTTTGCGGCACAGACACAGACAGATATTCAGTTCAAGGGTTCTGCATCCTAGTTCTTTAAACTACTGCCATTTTCTTCTTGACATTCCCTTAGGTAAGAGAGCTGTAAACAAGTACAGCAAGACAGCTATTACTGTTGTTTATTTGTATCACAATTTTTTCTTTGGAAATTTGCAATTAGACAACATTTTTATAAAAGTCTCATGTTTTACTATTTTTTTCTTCAAAAGCTTGTAATTTAATGGATTTACAGTGTTTGCCAAAATTTATTGATTGAAGAAGTTCATAGAAAGTGGCAGGTATGAGGGATGCACATACTAATTCATAGTGTCTGGGGGAGGAGAGCTATTTTCTGCCAAAAACTGTTCAGCTTTCAGAAACAGATGTATTTTGGGTTTTCAGAGTTTGAAGGAGATTCCTGAAAGCAAAGTTTCCACAATGGGAAGGAGACACACTTTTTATACTAGCTGTACATGATTCATCAGTTCAGTTGTGTGTTAGATGAACCAGCAGCCTGAAGTTCACTGTGCTATTACTTAGCCAGACTAAGAGGGGAAAGCTGACCTGAACAAAACACCAATATGTATAACAATATATATGTGAAGGCAAGAATACTGTATATGAGCAGGGTATAATAGCAAAAGGAAAGGTCATTGAGAAATGATCTTCAGTTTGGAAGAACAATAAGGTGTTATCAGGCAGGTCTCACGGCAGTGGATAGTGTAGAAAGATAACTTGCATCCAGAAGCTTGTGCAGCATCCACACAAGCCAGTAAATCCTGCCAACACTTTGTATAACCGTTAGTTCAGGGGCAGTCCCAGAAGGGTCTGTAGTGGAACATATTCTAAGAGGAGATGGAGTCCAGAATCTGAATCTGAATCTCTGAGATCCTACAAACAAAATTCTATTCTCTAGGAGAAAGATAATTTCCAAGAAAACTTCATTCCAAATTTCCCCATCAAGCAATAATGGCTTCCCTGTAGGAAAATTAGAAAAAAATCGGGCACAGGCAGGGGGAAGGGTGAGAAAACAAAGACTCGCTTTGTTCCCCATCCTATGACTCTCCTTAAGCTCTTGTCAGTTGAAAACCAGATAATTTTTTTTATTATTATTATTCTAACTTTTCCAGCTGGAACAGTGCAGTGGAGCTATGTGCAAGCATTACCTTCCGAGCAGAAGTAACACTTCCACATGGAAATGAAATTATTTTTTAAAAAGTTGTTCAAGAGAAAAAAAGCCTGCAATTACACCCTATTTCATTCTGGTGAAAAACCTTCATTTTTGACAGAAAGCTTTAACTTTCATTTAAAACGTTTTTTAACCAACTCTGCTTACAGAAGATATTTTAAAGATCTGTTTCACAAATCAGCATGAGCCTTTCTAGGGCTCATCAGTGAGGCACGCATTATTTTGTCCAAAGCTATTACCCTTGTCCAAAGCTATTACCCTTATCCAGAGCTTTCTGCCTCAGCTCTCAAGCTGATCAGCCTGCAACTACCTCATTTTATACTTGAATGCCTCATTTACACCAATGAAAACATGTGAGAGCCATTTGTGTTGGCTCACATCATATTCTGCTCAGCACAAAAGAACTGAGGGCAATTTCACTGCAGGCTCGACAATGGCCACTGTGCCTTTGAGCCCTCCAGCCTGCCTTATTTACAGCCCCACACACGCTCCACCGCTGCTCCAGCCGGGAACACCAGCCTTCCCGTTGGGACTGTTTGCTCTCAATGTTTTGGTCTCTCCAGCAGGAGATCAGAGGCAGATCAAACACACAGGATCCTCCTGCTGAAGAAAGAAAAGGCAGGAATCACCTCAAAGTCACTCTTCTGTTATAATCCAGATGGGAAATAGACTCTGAGTATTTTCTCTGCAGTTATAAAAAGTTGTAAGCACAAAATATAAGGATATAAATGGAATAGTTCATGTGACAACAGACAGAATTTAAGTGACAAATTCCCAGTGCAGCAAAAATGTCAGTTTTTAACTGCCCCAGCCTAAGACCAGATGCCACCCAAAGAAATTCATGCCAGTGCTCTAGCAGCATAAGGCTGGCCCCGAAGTGTTACGTCTAAGTGTTCACATCTAGAACTCAGTAGCAGGGCTGGGAGGTCTGGCCTGGGATCCCTGAATTAATCCACCTATACCCACTGGTTAAGCAAAAATCTTAGCTTTAAAGATCTCAGTTTCTAATCATGTTGAAGAGCCATGGGCTTGAAGCAGAGGATAGGAAGAACATGAACTCAGCTGGAGCTCTCTTAAGAATAGCTACTCTCTGTACCTCTGGTTGAATGGACAGATCAGTATCTTTTTTTTTGTCTACTGAAAAACATTCATTCCTCAGCCAAGATAGGGATTGCAAACTTTGTCTAATTTGGCTCCTGCATAAGGTCATGCCACGATTCACTACCTTCCTCCCCTCTCTGCTCTGATATTTGTAAGCTCTCAGGCCTTCCTGTGCAGCAGGGCTGGAAAGGAAGGCACTACACTGCAGCCTGAAACAGCTCCACCTTTGTCCTTCTTGGTTTACCCTTTGGCACAAGAAGTCACATTACAATTGTCTCCTAGTTGGGAGAAATATGCAGGAAACACCTAAGGAAAATATCTGTTTTTCCTTTCCTTTTCCTTTTCCTTTCCTTTCCTCAAGAGGAGGAAGATTATGAAATTGCCCATTTGCAGAGAATATTTTCTAAAATGTTCCATTTATAATCTCTCTCCTTTCCTAGCTGATCTGCCAGGAAACTCTCTCAGGATAGCAAATTCCTGAACTCAAAAATCTGCAGTTGATACCTGTGTTAAGACTTATTTTTGGAGGAAACTAAATGGCAGGAACATCCTGCATGGATGCACCAGTGACCTGATTTCATTTCTTCCCTGTGGTGTAAGTCTCGTTACAAAACACAGCATTACCCTGTGGAACTCATTTCCACAGGAGCCTCAGGAGTGGGAGTCAGGAGCTGACTACACATACATACAAATGATAGGAACAACCACAGTCAGAAAAGATATGACTGACACTGCTTCAGGGAATTAGTCAAGCACCATGTAACAGAAGTTAGAATAATGCTGTATCCTCTGGTAATTTTTTCCATTATTGTACCCACCGAGAACTTTTCTGTTATTTCATGCTTTCTTTTCAGAATGTTTCAGACTGGTCACTAGCAGAAAGAGGAGATGGAGAAAATTTGACGGAACTCATAAACAATTCCTATTTCCCATTTATTTGAGTTAAAACCACCATCAGCCCTTAAAGGTGTTGGCAACTAGACTATGTTTTTGTGAGCTCAGCTCTATGACCAAAGAATCAGGGTTTAAATTGTTTCCATGCAATTTGTGCACATAGGTAAGTGTTTTCCTGAAGAAAGGCCCCTGTGCCTCAGTTTTCCACCTATTTAACAAGAGCAGTAGACTTGCCACTTCACAAAAGCTTTTGGGCAAAGAGGAACATGTTGGTTCACAAAGGGTGAGGGCACCACTCCACCTATCACTCTGGATCCCTACAAGGAAACAGAGGGGTCAGCCAAGTGACCAGTCAGATATTGAAGAAAGGTGGGTTCATGGTGGTACCACTAACAATAACTCCTCTCAGCCATCCCACTTTCCCTTCAATATCAGCCTTTCCTGGGACTTGCACTATGGCCCTCCCATGCCAAGCAAAATGAGGACTTGATTCTTGGCTGAAAACCATTTTGATATGCTGCAATAATGACAAATAAACAAAAGTTTTAAGACAGGAATCCAGATGCGCAGAACAATGCCATGATACCAGCTGATTCCAGAGCCAATGTAGAATTGGATATCATCTTTTGGGCACTGTTGATGGTGAACTTGGGGGGCAAAGACAAGCCAGATCTCTGTCTGGTGTTTGAAAGGAGTCAGGAAAAGTTGTAAGAGCGAAGGGTGTCTCTGCAGAGGGAAGACAGTGTTGACATCCAGCTGAACTGAGCATTCACTTTTATGCCAGAATCAAACCCCCAGATCTAAATACTGCCTAGTTTTGGAGGGCACCTCCCCAAGATCTGTGCCTCACAAACATATACTCTGAAGATGGTGAACCAAAACTTATGTCTGAGTTTCCCATGCTACGGGGTGGCCACATCGAAATGCCAGACTCAAATTCTAATCTTGATCCTCTTTCACAGATTAGATCCCATAGGGAAAACCAAAGGTTCAGGTTTGTTGCTTATCCCAGCATCTGTACTTTGCACAGTGGCTAGAAATCACAGCAAGCTTGGTTATCCCTTGGCACTGCAAGATTTCTGCTGGAGTTAACGCTGGAAAGTACTCAGAAATGGCCACAAACCAAAACCACAAAGGGCCTGTCACAAGTCTCACAAACCTTGGTTTTGCACTGAGCTAATAACATCAACATCACTGAAGCTATGCATGATTTGTAGTCTGTAAGTGAGAACAGAAGCTGGCCGTCTGTGCAGAGAAGCTAAATCCCTTTAATTATTAAAACATATCCTACTGCTGTTGAAAATCCCATTGCCGTTGGAAAAAATACACTAGTAATAAATGTATGCTATACATCAAAGGCCTCTTTTGTAAATATAGTATCCATTTTTTTTTCTTAAAAAAAAATGACCTAAGGACTAAATTAATGTTTAATCTTTTATCTCAGAAACATTCTGTAGTGGCATATTTATCTGCTGTTTACATTTTTCTTCCTAATACAGCAATGAATAACTCTTGTTGATAATGAGAAATGATTTAATATAAATGGTTGAAGGGTCCTCTTCTGAAGTCGGTGGGAGATTTGACTGGGCAGGAAAGGCATCATTGGAGAGGAGTGCAGTAAAACTCATTCCTGCAGTCCCAAAAATGCCTTCCACAGAGTGTCCATGCAAGTTGGCCCATCCTGGCCTTTGGAGATGAATAAAGCTTGAGCCCCCTTTCAAACTTGTACAATATTTTCTTTGTGAAATGGCAACTGTGCAGTTAACTCTGACATGTTAGGAATCCATGGCTTATTTCAAAGATCCAATGTCCCATACCAGCATAAGCACCACAGCTGAGTATTTGCTCTTAATCTGGTGAAAACGTGCCTTGGCTTAGAACTGCACAGAGGACTAGGCACGAGCAGCTGGGGTTCCTGACTCCCCTCCCAGCCAGTTGTGTGGGTAGCATTTCTGGCACACGGATCACAGACAACTCTTCTGGCCCCAGAGTCAAGCTTGGCCAGCTGGATGGGTGCAATTAGCCTGCAGAGACTGGAGAGAAGAGCTGGTGAGTGCTCAGCCTGCAGCAGTATGGCCTTTGCCATACAAACTGCACCAATAATCTGGACTCTGCAGGGAGGTCTCATGATATGAAAGGTGTCACTTTTAGCAGCTATATCTGCCTTAACTATGCCCTTTCATCCTCTGCAGGCAGCAGACAGGCAGATTTTTGTCCCCATGTCCCACTACGGATTTGTACACTTCATGCCATCACTTCCCTTGCTGAAAGCAGGGCCCATTCCTGCCCTGTGCACTGCCTGTCCTGCCCCAGGGCTGCTGGCACAGCAGGATGGAGCCACTGGCACGGCTCATAGCCCCTGATGCCTCTACGTGCTGCACCTCCCCATTCCGTCCCTGCAGCCCTGGGCACAGAGCCAAGGTCCTACTTTCCCTCCTGCAGTGCACCACGGAGACTGGCCAGGGCTGCATTTATGTAATGCTTCATAAGCAAGACTGTCTAAATAAGCAATGTCAGCACAACATCTGTTACCCAGCCCTATCCATTGTTTTCATGGACGGCTTCAATCAGAATTCCCCTCCACCCAAATTCAAATTAGTGCAAGGATATTGAGTGCACGTTTCAGGGGTGCAGAGGAGAAATATGTTCTTGGACATCCCATGGGACTTAAGCTCTGCACTCTCTTACTGGTTTCCAACCCCTTCCACTCCTTTCATCATGGTGAAGAGCACTGACACGGCCCTTTTCCAGGGTGTCCAAAGAGAAGGTGCCATCCCTCCTCCACCCTCCCAAACCACTGACAAAGACTCCAGGGCACCATCCTCTAGCCAGGGACTTCTAGAGTGCTCAGAGTTTTAGTCACACATACTCTGCTCCCTCTACACTCGCGAGACATGACCCATGCACATTTTCAGTAAGGTTTGCCAGGAAGATCTCTTGCCATCATAAAATGCTTGGCTCTGTCCTTGTCTGCTCCATCCTTTTGCCATGCTAGACTGGCAAAAAGGGAATGGTCAGAGTACTCACTCCCTGCTTGAGTGTCGCCTGATCCTCAGTCTGTCTGAGATGGATGAACTTGAAAAACTATGACCTGTGAACACATAGGCTATGAAAAAGCATGGGGAAGTGATAACTTAGTTCTCCAAATGATCAATCTCCCATCTAGCTATATCAGACACTGAAGGAACTTTAAGGTAGGGCAGGAATTCTCCTTAAGTAAGCCTCTTGAAAGCTAAGTGTCATACCTGAAGCGTGTGTTAAGGGTCTTCAGAGAGTCAGGGAGAGGCACAAGTGCTTCCTCTGCAATTGATTCCAGTAATTGATAGCTGGGCAGATCTGACAGGACCTTTTTGGAGATGCTGGTCTTTTTCTTGACTCAGAGACTCAGTGAATACTTTAGATTCAATGACAGGGCTGAAATTAAAAAAAAAAAAAAAGACATTGCAGAGTGAGTCTTGCTAAGCAAAGCTACCAGCTGCAGGCAGGAGAAGCCTGGAAAGAAAACCTGTATCAGGTTTCAAGCATCATGAATGTGTCCCCTCAAACCAAGCCCAGATATAAATGTTCCATACTTAGATCTTTCCACTTCACACTACACTCGTTATAAAAATCTGCTACTCCCTGCCTGATCAGATCTGCAGATGAGGAGACCCTCCTGTGTGCCTTTGCCAAGTGATAGTGCAGTTCCCGTCCCTGAACGTTCAAGTAATTCAGGCAAGTCTTAAATCAATCTATAATAAATCCAGTTTTGGTTGGCAGGGCTTTGCAAGTACTCTGTGAGCTTTCCTGGTACCCCTGGGGCTGAACTGAAAGAAAACCCACAATCTGAGGAGAAGAAACAAATTCAGAGATTGCTTTTGGGTAGCTGAGAGAGCAGGATCTATTTTGGGACTAACTCAATGAGAAATTTGTTTATGAGACTCTGGGGAGGAATAGAAGTTATGTGTTATAAACCAAAATAGGTCCTTTACCCTCTTCCTAAATACAGTGTACTTGAAGGCTGCTTTAGGGTGGAAATACATATAATCCTTAGAGACAAACCACGGGAACAAGAACAAAAAGAAATATAGAACTCTGCCTACCCACCCACCACTGCAGCAATATCCCTCTGTGAGATACCTGCTACCCCAGGGCAATGGTTAGGAGATTGTCCAAATGGACTTTGGTCAGGGTAAGAACCTTGGCAGTACAAATACTGCTGTAGGTTGAAATACAGACCTACAGGGTGGAGTTTCAACCAGAGGCAGTTGGTGCCTTGCTCTCCTGGCTTCCATGATTCCCAGGGTGGCTGGGGCGAGCTGCCTTCAATCCTATAAGAGACGCATGCAGGGGCAGCTGCATGGCTCTGTCTTCAGATGATCGGGCTGTTAGCCATTCTGGCAGGCAAATTGTACAATGATTTATGATGCCAAATATTCACCAGAGAAAATACAGTGAGTTTTTCATGAGAGAACCAGTGGCTGAAATTTTCACTGAGGTTTTCATAACATCTGGGGTTTCAGCTTTGTTATTGGTTTTGTATCTTCCTGAAGCCTTACAAAGCAACAAACTGGCAATCTAAAGTATACATCCATATCATGTCTATACACATTTACATATTCTGCTTCATATTATTGAGATTAAAGAGACTCTGATGCTAAGCTCTATATCACATTTCCTCTCTTATTCTAGACCAGATCATATCTTCAAAGCAGCTTCACAGCTGCTGGAAAAATTAGGTTAAATAGGTTGGATCCCCCAAAAATATTTCTCTAAAAAATTTTCTAATGGCAATTTTTTAAATTAAATATCTCATTTCAAAAATGCTGAAATATTTCATGTTGACTGTTTTAATTATATTTAGGTCAGAGTTTGTTTTCAAAATGGAAATATTAATTTAAAAGGATCTACACTTGAAATTTAAAAAAAGGTGAAAATGTTTTAATATGGGCAAACTAACTCAAGAGCAACTCTGTTGCAGCCAGATCTGAAATTTGATGGAATTAAAAGATAACTTTTTTTCCCACAGTGTATCTGTTTACTACACTCAATAATTGCATCAAAATAATGGCATCAAAAAAACCACTTGCTGATCCATCCCTAAGCGATATTCATCCGTCAGCTATCAGTGAGATTCGTTCTCTAAAAAAGTCACAGATGCTTCACAGAGTGAGGTCACAGCAACCCCTTGTGAAGATCTGAGGATGTCTTAGCTCAGTGCTCTCACAATATACCATACACAATCCTCTGTCTTTTCCACCCCTCCTTTCCCCAAGAATAGCACAGCTATGGGATGGAAATACATCTGAATACTGCAGATATGCAAAATACTGTGAAGACCATGATGGAATATGGGAATGGTCCCTTGCCATAATAAAGTTTCCTTTCCATTGCTCCAGTTGTATCAATGACTATGGCTCAGGAACAGCAGGAGCTGGACACCCTCCAAATCTGCTGAACAGAGCACCAAGATGCTGATTACAATGGAGAAGGCTCCTCACGGCCTCTGCTTCAGCAGGACAAAGGCATCTGTGTGAAGGATCACACAGAAGGGTCTTACAGTCCCAGAACTGGAAGAGTTTGCACTCTGAGGTCCCTCTTCAGGCCCATCAATTACCTTTCATTAAAGGGGTGATGATTCTCCACAAAATCTGATCTGCCTCCTAGGAAAAGCAGAGCTGCATCAGTTCTCTTCAGAATACATTTCTACTCTGCTGTTTCATTCAGCCCGACAGAACCAAACATGTAAAATTGTGCTAATGAGTTAGCTAGCCCAGGAGCAGCAACCTGAAGACTATTCCTGCCTAGGCACTGGCATGAAATCTGTGTATTAAGACGAAGGCAATCTTTGGGTGCAAGTTGTCAGCCAGCTTGAGTCTCAGATTCCCATTGGATTTGTAGGGAAGGGGGCTGGAAAGGAACATCTTTCCTGCCCAGTAAAGGGGGTGCAATGTGAATTTGGCTTTCTGTGCAGCGGTAACCAAGGCACAGTTTTGCTGACTCTTTTCGAAGCAGAACCACACTTAAACAGCAGATATGTATCTGGGAGCAGGAAACTAATTGAAAGCAGCCCTGATATCCTAATTATGGGCTGCTGCCTCTTCCAGCTGGAATAGCCACAGAAGGCCCTGCAGGAAGACCAGCCACCCCACACACAGGGAGCTTGTCAGTAAGAGCCAGCCGGTCCTGAGGCCTGCCATTCCTGCTGTCATTCCATGGCTGTATTACAGAAGGAAGTCTCTGTCTGCTCCTCTGTGTGCACTCTGTGCTGGGCTTCTGGCAAGTTACCAGTTGAAGTCATGGTGGGAAAGCCTGAAATTCTTCCTTTCCCTCTACATTTCCCTTTCAGTTTCTCATGCTCTCCAGACAGTCACTCCTACAGCTTTCCTTCTCTCTTGCCCCGACCCGATCAACACCCCAGCGAGGTGGTGACGGCGTTCTGCCAGATATGCTGAACCTGAAAGCATCCCCATCTTGCCCAACAATCACCCAGGGAGGGAAGCAGCATTTATCACCACTCCATCAGCCGCTGCCAGACACTCTTTCCATTAAGATGTCAAAACAGGTTTCTCTCTAGAAATCCAACAGCCCTGCAGACTTACCCTTGCCGGCAGCAGCCCCAGTTGGACATCTGTTCCCTTTCAACCTCACACGTGCACTTAAAATGCCGGTACTGTCCACTTCTTTGGGGGATTAGGCTCCTATTAAAGCTGCCTTCCACATGATTCATTGTTATCTCCTGGTGTTGATCTGATTTATGGATTGGCCTGTGCTAATTAAGGTCATAAAATTGGGAGTGGGAAAAGGCTTCCAGCACTGTGAAGCCGTTTAATGTTGGGTCATTTTCCAGCGCCTATGTTATTTTGCAGGAGATGGGAGATACCACAGCTGATATGCTGTGGTCAGAAATGAGATTTCACTGGGATGAGACCTTGCTGCCCTCTCAGTCTTGGGAGAGGAGACAAGTCACTGGGAAGGTGAAACCATTTTTGCTCAGCACTGATTCACAGATGAACTCATAGTCCAAACTCTTATTACTCAGATTAGGCTTGTGTCTACAGCCCCATCTGAGACTGGAGTTCCATTCTGCTAGGCACCACATATTCACCTTGCAAAGATGTTTCCTGCCCCATGAAATCTTGCTGAGAACTCAGCCCATGGGCACACTGCACTCTTTACTGTAACTGCAGCAAAACAAAGACAGACCTGAGCCCCTCTGTTCAGCTCAGGAACCACCAGCCACATAACTCTGGCCAAACGCCTCTCTCTGCAGGTTGCCACTGTGCTTCCAGGTCACACAGAGCTCCAAGCTACCATGGCAGGTCTGTTACTCCATCCTGAGCTGCACTGGTTCAAGCTACCTCAAGCACCTAAACTAGTGTATGGATCACAAGGTGTGCTGTCACCAAAGCATCACCCAGATGTGCAGCAACTGGTCACTGCACCCAGGGTCACACTACAAGTTCACAGAAAAGCCAGAACCCCAAGGGGTGCAGCCACGACAGTCCTTCAGCCACTTGGCCACTTCCCACAGGACCTGTGTGTTAGTCCAGCTGCAGGGATACTGTCCTATATAACATCTTTTCACACTTAACTTTGGGAGTTTGGTTTGGGATTAGGTTTTTGGTTTGGTGGGTTTTGGTGAAAAAAATCTACAAAGTCCAGATGCTTTTGTTAATATAAAAATTACTGAAGAGATTCGCCTCTGGTACAGTAGCACAGACCTGGCCAGACATTTGGCCTCATGTGCTATGAAATAGGCAGATAAATACACATAAAACCAGCACTACCCATTTAACTTTGTGAGCTGCTACACTTTGTTTTGCTAATTTGCTACAGTTTGTGATTTTTCTTAGTTTCACAACATTCACTTTCCCAAATCTTCATTTGCAAAGCCTAGTCATGACAACATTCACTTATTCTAACACACCTGCTCCCATTGGTAGCAGCAAGTTTACCCTTGGCATATGAACCTAACTTGCCCAGAAAGGGTGTGGTTTTCTGTTTCACCTTCCTCTTCCAGCCAATTTTGTTACAAGATTCCTGCAAACTGGCTCAGTAATTCATTTGTTGTGGTCATTTTAGCAAGCAGGGACTGTATAAGCATATGCTCATTACACTTCTATTTTAACATCAGCATTGGTCCCTGTAAATCTGCTATGGCTTCGCCATCAACTACAGCAAAACTGGTTGCTTGATGCAAACATGATGCAATCTTAAATATTTCCAATGCTAGACCAAAATATTATGTGTTCTATAAATAAAAATTAGAAACAGGGCAAAATATTGAAATATCTGAAATACCAATTTAAATAAAAAAATAAAAAGCAACATAAAAATAAAAATAATTCTCCAATTAGGAGTTCGTAGACTTTACCAGAGGAATATCCAAGTAGAAAAGCAGAAAAAAATAAACATGCTAAGTTCTTCATAAC